CTGGGATTTGAGGCAAGGGGGGGTAGATAAGATCAGGGGCCAGGGGCCAGATGAGAGGTCTGGTCTCGCAGGTAACCAAACACACAGAGCTAGGGCTCTGAGGAGACATCCGGGTTACAGAGAAAGATCTGCCACTGCCCCACTTAGGGTGTGTGCTGGAACACAGATATTAGGGGCTGAACTATGTCCCCTCACCCAAAAAACCCCCCCAAAACCCCAAAGCCTCAAATGTTGAGTCCTGACCCTTTGTACCTCAGAACGTGACTGTATTTGGAGATAGGGCCTTTACAGAGGTAATTAACTTAAAATGAGGTCATTGGGATGGGCCATAATCCAACAGGACTGGTGTCCTTGTAAAAAGAGACTAGACCACAGACGCACACAGAGGGAAGCCCGTGTGAGGACCCAGGGAGAAGGCGGCATGCGCAATCCAGGGAGAGAGGCCTCAGAAGGAACAGCCCTGCCGACACTTGATCTCAGACTTCCAGCATTTAGACCCGAGAGGAGCTAAATGTCTGTTAGCCCCCCCCCACCCCCAGCCCGTCTGTGGTACTTGTTATGCAGCCTGAGCTGACTGAGACTCTGGGGAACCATCTGAAGGGAGCAGGTGGTGGAAAAGGATTCTCGAAGGAGAAGAGCAACCAGCAGAGCACAAGAAAAATCCGGAAAAGCAGCCTCCCCCCGCCAATCCCAAGGAGAGAGTGTCAAGGACTGAGCAGTCACGGCAACGCCCCGCAGAGGTTGACCGAGACCGCCAAAGCAGTTCCAGGGATCTGGCATCAGGCAGGCTTGACACCATCTGGGGCGCAGAGACCACGAGGCCCAGCAGGCAAGGCAGGGACGCTGGGCGAAGCTGGCGCCTCCCAAGAGCACGGACACACAGACAGTGCGAGGGCCGTAGCCCCTGGGACGTGGCCAGGCTTGTGACGGGGGCTTTGCGAGGGCTCTCACGGAGGCCCACACCAACATGCGTGCTCCAGGGGCAGCATACGGTAGCCGGACAGAAGCCAAGAGGCCTGCCGTAGGGGTCCTGAGGACACAGTGCCACATGGACCCAGCCTGGGCCCGGGGGTTCTTCTGCCCTGGGTCTCTACTCTCGTTTCTCCATTACAAACCTCAGATAACTCATTGTCTACTGGGGGAAAACCCAACCGATCCCCAAGGACGGACTGTGGGGGCCTGGGCGGTCGGGCCCCAAGTTCTGCTGCAGGTGTCCCCCTCCGCGCCCTGCACTAGTCCCTTCCCAGCCTGTGTTAGCTCCTCCACACACGAGGCCCTTTCTATCTTTCAAGACCCCAGCCCTCCTTCAGGGCCCAGCTCAAAGGCTGCAGCACCCAGCTCCCCCTGCCATGGTGGGAACTCCCAGGGCCGAGCACATACCTCGCGGGCTTTCTTGGGCCTGAGCACTTCTGCACCCCTCACCCTCAGCTCCCGGCCCTCACACGCTCGACTCAGCTGGTCCCACACTGGGCCTAGAATCCTCCATTTACCAACTGTCTTGGCTACACCACGAGCTCCTTCTTCAAGGCAGAGACCATCTTCTACCCATCTGTGTCACCCACCCAAGGCGGAGCAGAAGGCCTGCCTACAGAACAGATGTTCTGACAGAAGAACCAGAGCCAGGCACCACACAAGTGACTGCAGAAATCACCTCTAACGGGGGAGGGGAGGGATGAAGGGGTTGCACGAAGCAGTCTTCAAAAAGTAGAACGACACCTATGTGCACAGCAGCATTATTTCCAACAGCCAAAAGGTGGAAGCAACCCAATGGTCCATCAGTGGATGAATGGATAAACAAAATGTGGTCTATACCTAGCACAGAATATGGTTCCGCCTTAAAAAAGGAAGGAAATTCTGACACATGCTACAATGTGGATGAACCCTGAGAACATTCCACCAAGTAAAATAAAGCCAGTCACAAAAGAGCAAGGACTAGAATGGCTCCGCTGAGGTGAGGTCCCTGGAGTAGTCAGATTCAGAGAGAGAAAGTGCAGTGGTGGTTGCCAGGGGCAGGGGCAGGGGGAGGCGGAAGGGGCTGGGCACTTAGCGGTGAATGGGGACAGAGTTTCAGTTTGGAAAGATGACAAAGTCCTGGAGATGGATGGCAGCGATGGGTGCACAGCACACTGCGACTGTATTTCATCCCACTCAGTTGTACACGTAAACATGGTTAAAATGGTACATTTTATGTTATGTGGATTTTACAATTAAAAAAAAAACTTTTTAAAAAGTAGGACAAAAACTTTGTGTTCACTGCAAACGCTCATGTATATTCATTGGAGAACAGTGGAGTTCCTCAGTATGTAACAATCAAGGGTGCCCAATTTGTAAAGCATCTTTTAAACACACAGAGAAAAAGCAGCTTTTAATCTAATCTGGGAGGAAACACTCTGTAGTGCAAATTACTATGCTGAGTGCATAACCCAGCCATAATTTAATATGACCACTGGGACGTCTGAGCTGCTTGATGCAAGCATCATCTCCTTTGCACTTCTTCTTTAAATGATACCAAGAAATAAAGTGTGACTGTTCGCTTTTGGCAGAATTAAATTAGAGAAAGGACTGACCATCCTCTCCATTTAAAAAAATAAATAAATAAAAGGGAGACAAACACTTAAGTAGCATTCCTATGACTTAACATTCTTTACCACACATTCCTATGACTCAGCTGTTTGGTTCACTGCTCAGATAAGTAAACCAACTGTCTCACTTCTGGGGCAGTGTTTTCAAATGTAAGAAGGCTCCCTCCGTGGCTCCTTCTTGCTGCATACCTTGAGTGAACTAAACATTCAACACAAAACTGGCTAGGGCTTTGTGAAGCTGTTCCCTGGGAAAAACAAACGCACAAAAAGTATGTTGCACTCTGACTACAAGACACCTAGAAAAAGATATAAAACACAACCAAGGCACAGAGAAGCAGGAAAGACACTGAAAAATCAGGAAGAAAGACTTGAAGGGCTCGGGGATCCTTGCTTAGCTCTGCAGCCGTGACAGCTGGCTTTGTGAGAGACAATGGGCTGGAGCCCCCACGAGAAGCACCACCGCTCAGAAGGGCCCACATCTGGCTTAAAGCTAGGCTGTCACTCTCTTGATCTTAGTAATTTTTGGACGAGGGGTTCTGCATTTTCATTTTGCACTGGGCCCCACAAATGATGTAGCTGGTCCTGAGACCAGCAGAAAGGTTTGGAAAAACAGACACCCTGTGTGGGGTCAGGGGTGGGGGGAACGATTTGTAAAACTGTTTCAGTGACTGCCCAAGGGCTTGTTCCAAGCTCTCTCTGTGATCTGGAGCTAATAACTGAGACCATGTATCACTGTTTCTAGAAAAGAAGCCTCAGGAGGAGTATCCCAGCCAATTCCATACTAAGCTTAAGCTGCCAGGTAAGTTATATCCTGAGTCTTTGGGAAGAAAAAGAATACTTTTAAGTATGTAATGGTTCAATCATCAATGTTCAATTATTCTCGATTAACTGCCAAAAAGATTCATCTCTAATCCCTTCCATCCCAATGAAGAATAGCTACTACCACCCCCTGCCACATGGTCTGCAGGAGACCTCCAGGGCTGGGTAACCACATCCTCTACTCTGAAACCTGCCTGGACATCAGATTTGCACCCAGGAATCTGGAATGGACAGAGGAATGCAGCGCCTCCGTGCTGACCAGTGCCTGACCAGGTAAGCAAAAGCATGGGCAAAGTCAGCCTGTAGAGGGAACAAAGCTGACTTCTAGAGAAAGGGCTGAGAGCACATGTGACTCCTGACAGAAGGGTGGTGGCACCAGGGCTCCTGATTCAACCCCTCCCCCACAATTTTCTGGTTTCAGATCCCACCCTAGGTTCCCTGAGCCATTCCTGCATCTTTCCTATACATTTCTTTTCTATTTTGTTAATGTAATGTGAAATCTGTTTTCCTCACTTGCAACCAAGAGTCATACGAGAGGTTTTATAGAATCTAATCCTGTGCAAATGGAGTGGCCTCAGGCAGTATTCTATTTCAGCAGTGATTTATTTTAGGGGAACCCAGCTCAATCGGTCAATAACCATTGCCCCTCTTTCCCAGAAACAGAGGCCTGCCAATCTCTAGGTCACTTGTTTGGAGGAACATCTGCCTACACATAATGATCAGTACTGAGCAGCCTTGAGCAAATGAAAGGACAAGCCCCCAGTCACAGATGATCAAGGTCTGAAGGCTAGAGGTCAGTCACTGCCCTCTCATGACAAGTCAGCAAGGACAGCGTTCGGGGTGGGTGGGGCAGCCCTCGGGGGGCGCCTGGCCCTCTGCACGGTTTCCACCTGCCCCTGAGGTGAGCTCTCTGACCCCTGCCACCGAGGTCCAAAGCTACCACCAACCCCTCTAAAATTCCACAGCTTCTCTGATCCACCAGCACAGCCAGCCCAGACTTTTTAACACGTGTAGATGGTTCTCCATCCAACAGCATGACCTCAAGTTCCTGAGCCAAAACCTCTGTGGGGGTGTGAAGCCCCTGGCAGAACCCTGCTCTCCGGTTCCTCGAGGTCGGCCAGAAAAGCCTTTTCCTTTTCAGATCCTTTGGAGCCCTGTGACCAGTGACCTGAAAACAAACAAAGCCATTACATGTTCTTGTTCATCAGACTAGAGGTCCGTTTTGGTCAGACTCCTCAGGCCACCCTGGATTCCTGCGTCCTGGAGGAAGGCACACCTGGCCCCCCACGTGATGGGTTTATGGGCGGAGGGGAGGGGACAGGCACCTCAGAGTGCCCAAGGAATAAATCACGCTCCCAGGTGTGGCCTATCGGCTCCTCCCCACCGAAGTATTTCTCAGATGACTCATTTGACTCATTCGGCCGGTCCTCACCCCCACACACAGGAGGGAGAACGGGATCTGAGATTCCCAGGTTCCTCGGGGTTTGCCGGGCGCCTGGCGGGGAGGGCAGTGGGCTCTCCCCGGCTGTTCTCATTCTAGCCTCCCGGGAAGGCGAGCGATGACCCACTCTCCCAAAGATAAAGCTCATGGAGCTGTACCTGTGACTGTCACGGCTGTTGCTAATATCTGCTGGTCCTCAGCAGCCGTCAGGACCTGAACCCACTCCTGCCAGACGGAAAAGCCCTTCTTCCTCTTTCATGGTTGCAGATTCAGCTGAGCTCAGGGAGTCTCAGGGAAGACTTCGTGGGTAGAAGACGCGTCAGACACAGCTCCGGGGTGGAGAGGGACAGGGTGCACTCTGACCACCACACAGCTGGGGTTAGGACAGAGAGACCCGGCCGAGGGCCGGAGAGCAGAGTGAGGATGAGCAAGTCCGAAGGAGGAACAGGGACGCATTGGCTGAAGGAAGGAGGAGCGGGCTGGCCAGGCAGAAGGAGCAGAGCTCAGCACAATGTGCCCAGAGAGGCGCCCTGCCCAACCCCACCGACCCCCCCCCCGCGCACAGCTCCCAACGGCCGTGTCCCTTCCCTCTCAGGCGGCCACAGGACGGCCATCCCTGACAGGCCGGACAAAAGGAACAGGGGCCAGCAAGCACCCACCAGCACTTGCTGGCCCCTGTCCCCTGGCGGGGGCCGCTCCAGACCAGAGGCAAGAACACCCTGCAGGGTGAGGGGAGCTAGATTCTAGCCCCTGCAGAGCTGGTGGCTCTGGATAAGTCAGCAACACCCCCCACACTCACTCCAGCCTCAGTCTTCTCATCTGTAAACTGAGGACTTTGGATGAAGAGATCGTATTATATGTTAGCCGTGCCCAGGACAATTTTTTTTTTTACCTACACTAGGCATTTGGTAAAGGTAAAGCTGGTTGGATCGAAGTAAACTCTAGACTGATGGTTTCCTATGTCAGGGTCTTTCAGCTTTGTGCAAATTCAATTTGCACTCCCCCCTTTTGAGGAGGAGGGCAGGGAAAATGCTGGAACACTCCAATGGGCCAGTGCTGCTTCCTAGCAATAGCCCTGGAAAGAGGCTTCAGGCCCACTTGCCCCAAGTCTGGCCTGGACCTGCAGCTGCGATGTGATTTTCCACAGCTTCTCCTCAGAACCTCTTCTTGGGCTGGCGGCCTCCTTCCCACAGCCCAAACCACCCGGTTTCCCCAGAACCTTCGGTCAGGCGACCTCTCCCCATCAAATGCTCTGCACCCTCCCCTCTGCCTCTCCACAGAGCCCCACTCCCCATCCTAGCTCCCCTTCTCCAAGGCTCTGCCTTGCTGCGCTCCATCCCAATTCATCCCCTCAGCTGACTCGGGTCATCTCACGGCTGATGTTCTGAATGTGACTCATAGCCACCCCTCCCCACGTTCCCACCTTCACTGCCTCCTAGCAATTCTAAGCTCTCACCATACCACAGGACCCTTGCAAATGCCATTCTCTCTCCTCCCTCTCCCACTCAAACCTAAGATCTCAACTCAGATGTCAGTTGCACTCAGAGACCAGTCAGTGTAGGCCAGGCTTTTTGTTCTAGTCTTTCATTTCCCTTTCTTTCCACACACTTAACTCCATATGTATTTAAAGGATTATTATCAGTTAAGGTGTGCCTCCCTCATTAGTCTATAAGCTCTATGGGACTGGAGCTGTCTACATCTGTCATTCTATCCCGAATACATAGCACAAAGCTTGGCCCAAAAGAGGGACTCATCTATGAAAGAAAGGAAGGAGAAAAGTTTAAAAAAAAAAAAAAAAAAAGGGAAAGGAGTGGCCTACAGTCGCACTTAGTGGTGTAAGGATCGTTTAACAACTGGATCTCTGCAGAAAACATAAAACCCCGAGGTGTAGTGTTTGCCAATTCCATGGTGTAGATGCTCCCACCATGGCTGCCTTGAAGCCACCAACGGACATTCCTGAGTGTGCAGCTCGACAGAGAAGCGCACACTGGCTCAGAGTCAGCAGAGGCCAAGCGGCTCAAGCTCACTGCTGGTTTGTGGCAACGCTAGGACTGACATTCAGAAAACCCATCGTGGTTTCAAATGGCATCAACTTTTGACTCCATCCTACTTTGGACTGAAGGCCAAAATGAATTGAGACCTGCAAAAAATGCTACAGACGAAAGAGGAAAAAGAGGGAAAAAAAAAAAAAGGGAAAAAAAAAGAGGTTTTGCAGCCAGCTCAGAACAAGAAGATGCAGGAGAGGTGAGTCCCACGGCGTGGGGTAGAGCGTTGGCTCCCAAAAGATGACAAGGGTTGCTTAACAACCATTTAGCTTCTGGTCTTCCCACTGGCGTCACTACCAAATGCAGTGTTTAGAATGTCGTTAGGAGCAAGTCAAAGCCTGCATGAAATGCGGGTCGTATCCAGGGGCCTAATATTTATTTCCCTTTCTAGCAATTTATCCTACTAGTTTAATCCAAGCAAAATGGGTATCTGCGACACCAAATGACAGAGGTACCAAGATCAAAAAAATATTAGAAGAAAGTATGGGTCTTTTTCTAATATTCCGGGATTATGGAAGCCCTAAATCTAATGCAAAACCCAGAAACCCTAACAGAAAAGATTAAGTTGACTCTATACAAGCCAAAAGTTTCTGCATAACAAACACACCATAAAAAAAATTAAAAAAAAAGACAAAGAGCCAGGGGAAAAACATTTACAAGACATCCAGAGAGTTAATTAACCTTCTGCTTGGAGCACTTCTATAGTAACTTTTGTATACTCCTCCCCCAAAACACACACATAGGCAAAGGACCTCAGGAGGGCAGTTCAAAGAAAAGGAAACAAATGGCTCAAAAAATTTCAGAGACATGTTTAACCTCCTTCCTAACAAGAGGAATGCAAATGACAACCACCACCAAATACACCTCACAGATCCAACGAGGAGACCTTTCCAAGTGTGGTAAGTCCTTGGTCAGGGAGGGTATAGGGAACAGGACCTCCAGCTTGACGGATGGAAGCGGAAATTGGTAAGATCTCTAGAGAGAGCATTTAACAACATCTATTAAAATAAAAATGTAGCCTACTTTGACCTTCCACTTTGAAGAATTTCATGCATGCCAGAATTTCATTACATATTATATAACAGCAAAGACTGGAAACAACCTCAGCACCCCCTTGGTAGGTGACTACTTAAATAAATTATGGCTTGCCCATACAATGGAATACTATGCAGACATAGTATTACAGAAGCAAAATGAGGGGCTCTCTCACTGGTGATAGGCATCTATCCCCGACAGTGGTATAAACAGGCATAGAACAATGTATGTATTATGTCATTGTTTGTGAGAGACAAATATATAAATGAAAATATACTTAGACTATTTCTAGAAGAATACATAAGAAACTGGTAACCATGGTTGCTTCTGAAGAGGGAAACTGGAGGCAGAGATGGAAGGCAATGTTACTATTACGGTCTGCTTTCTGTACCGTGTGCATGCATTATCTATTGGTCAATCTCTAAACAGAGAGCTGCATAAAGATGTTCACTGCTGTGTTGTATACACTAGACAAAATAAATCAACCACCACTGGGATGACCTGACACTGGGTTATTTTTAAAATATAACTATTGCGGGCGCCTGGGTGGCTCAGTTGGTTGTGCGACTGCCTTCGGCTCAGGTCATGATCCTGGAGTCCCTGGATCGAGTCCCGCATCGGGCTCCCTGCTCGGCAGGGAGTCTGCTTCTCCCTCTGACC